AAATTTTCCTCAGCTCCAAATGCCCAAAATCTCTATGGCAAGTGGCTTGGTTAACCAAAGACCAAACTACACAAATTTGCCCCCTTTTTGTCCCTTTTCTCATTAAATGCACCTGGGCTAAATTTTCCTCAGCTCCAAATGCCCAAAAATCTCTATGGCAAGTGGCTTGGTTAACCATAGACCAAACTACACAAATTTGCCTACTTTTTGTGCTTTTTCTCATTAATTGCACCTTAGCTAAATTTACCTCAGCTCCAAATGCCCAAAATCTCTATTGCAAGTGGCTTGGTTAACCAAAGACCAAACTACACAAATTTGCTTCCTTTTTGTCCCTTTTCTCCTTAATTGCACCTGGGCTAATTTTTCCTCAGCTCCAAATGCCCAAAAATCTCTATTGCAAGTGGCTTGGTTAACCATAGACCAAACTACACAAATTTGCTTCCTTTTTGTCCCTTTTCTCATTAATTGCACCTGGGCTAATTTTTCCTCAGCTCCAAATGCCCAAAAATCTCTATTGCAAGTGGCTTGGTTAACCAAAGACAAATCTACACAAATTTGCCTGCTTTTTGTGCTTTTTCTCATTAATTGCACCTTAGCTAAATTTACCTTAGCTCTAAATGCCCCAAAATCTCTATTGCAAGTGGCTTGGTTAACCATAGATCAAACTACACAAATTTGCCCCCTTTTTGTCCCTTTTCTCATTAATTGCACCTGGGCTAAATTTTCCTCAGCTCCAAATGCCCAAAAATCTCTATGGCAAGTGGCTTGGTTAACCAAAGACAAATCTACACAAATTTGCCTGCTTTTTGTGCTTTTTCTCATTAATTGCACCTTAGCTAAATTTACCTTAGCTCCAAATGCCCAAAAATCTGTATTGCAAGTGGCTTGGTTAACCAAAGACAAATCTACACAAATTTGCCTCATTTTTGTGCTTTTTCTCATTAATTGCATCTTAGCTAAATTTACCTTAGCTTCAAATGCCCAAAAATGTCTATTGCAAGTGGCTTGCTTAACCAAAGACCAAACTACACAAATTTGCCTCCTTTTTGTCCCTTTTCTCATTAAATGCACCTGGGCTAAATTTTCCTCAGCTCCAAATGCCCAAAATCTCTATGGCAAGTGGCTTGGTTAACCAAAGACCAAACTACACAAATTTGCCCCCTTTTTGTCCCTTTTCTCATTAAATGCACCTGGGCTAAATTTTCCTCAGCTCCAAATGCCCCAAAATCTCTATAGGAAGTGGCTTGATTAACCAAAGACCAAACTACAGAAATTTGCCCCCTTTTTGTCCCTTTTCTCACTAAATGCACCTGGGCTAAATTTATCTCAGCTCCAAATGCCCAAAATCTCTATTGCAAGTGGCTTGGTTAACCATAGACCAACCTACACAAATTGCCTATTTTTTGTGCTTTTTCTCATTAATTACACCTTAGCTAAATTTACCTTAGCTCTAAATGCCCCAAAATCTCTATTGCAAGTGGCTTGGTTAACCATAAAACAAATTACACAAATTTGCCTCATTTTTGTGCTTTTTCTCATCAATTGCATCTTAGCTAAATTTACCTTAGCTCCATATGCCCAAAAATCTGTATGGCAAGTGGCTTGGTAAACCAAAGACCAAACTACACAAATTTGCCTGCTTTTTGTGCTTTTTCTCATTAATTGCACCTGGGTTAAATTTATCTCAGCTCCAAATGCCTAAAAATCTCTATAGCAAATGGCTTGGTTAACCAAAGACCAACCTACACAAATTTGCCTCATTTTTGTGCTTTTTCTCATTAATTGCATCTTAGCTAAATTTACCTTAGCTCCAAATGCCCAAAAATGTCTATTGCAAGTGGCTTAGTTAACCATAGACCAAACTACACAAATTTACCTCCTTTTTGTCCCTTTTCTCATTAATTGCACCTGGGCTAAATTTACCACAGCTCCAAATGCCCAAAATCTCTGTTGCAAGTGGCTTGGTTAACCATAAACCAAATTACACAAATTTTCCTCCTTTTTGTCCCTTTTCTCATTAATTGCACCTGGACTAAATTTATCTCAGCTCCAAATGCCCAAGCTCTCTAGGAAATGACTAAACCCTATTCATTGTATTTATATACCTCCCTTCTCTCCAAGAGGCAACTCTAGCCAGCATCCAAACAACAGAAAACATTAAAAAGGTACAATATTAACAGTGAAATTAATAATGCTCGTGAGGGGAGAGAGCCAGGTACACACCAGGTGGAGGCAGAATCTGTTTTTAATTCGTTACCCACCTCCAGTATGACCCAGACCCCTCCGCTTTTTTTTTTTTTTTTGTACAAATATGAACCATGGCTTATTTTACTTTAACCTGGGGTTCGACTCTCTGGAAACAGGCACTGGCCAGCATTAAACCAAAGTCCCCCCACATTTGGCATTAAAAAAAAACCCTTATGAATATGAACTACGGTTAATTTTCGTTCAAAAACAGACGTCAGCTTACTCTTTGGAAGCAAACGCCCGCAAGTGCTCCTTCGTTGCTGGATTGGGGCCAGGGCTTGCGCTCTCCGGCTGCCCAACAGAAGCACGCCCCCTCGGAGAAACGCGAGGAGGGATGCAACGCGAGCCGCTTCTGCGGCTCTTTAAACCTCCGCTCTGGAGGAGCTGCTGTTCTTATATTTCGCGCCTGGCAGACCAACCAATCAGAGAGCTCCCTCAGCTTTAGCCGTAGCCAATGAGAGCCCTCTCCACAGTTGCTGCCTTTTTTTTTTCTCGGCAGCTGAGGCGCAGTGGGCGGAGCTTCGAATGAGCGCGCGCTCCCTCCCTCCCTCCCTCCCTCCCTGAATGGTTTCCAAGGCTGAGAGAATTTTATATATATATATATAGTTTTCAGGACGTTTTGGAAGTATTCGTTTGCTGTTTTCGTCTGTTCTTCAACTTCCATCCTCTTTTGTTTTTGGATAGCCCCCCCCCAAAAAAAAAGAAAAAAAAAGAAAGAGAGCTGGGTGCTGGTATAGGGTTTCCTGCCTGAGCAGGGGGTTGGACTAGATGACCTCTAAGGTGCCTTCCAACTTTTTTATTATTATTATTATTATTATTATTATTATTATTATTATTATTATTATTATTATTATTATTATTAGAGGGTCCATTTATTTTCCAAAGCACCTGAAGGCAACACAAGGAATAACGGATAGAAACTGATCAAGGAGAGATTCAACCTAGAAATAAGGAGAAATTTTCTGACAGTGAGGACAATCAACCAGATTGTCTTCAGAACTTGTGGGAGCTTCGTCACTGGAAGCTTTCAAAAAGAGACTGGACTGCCACCTGTCAGAAATGGTGTAAGGTCTCCTGCTTGGCTGGGGTTGGACTAGATGACCTACGAGGTCCCTTCCAACTCTGTTATTCTAAATACAAGAGCACAAGATTGCAGGCGTGCGCAGGGCTGCAATTCATTTTGGTGAAGGAGAGTCTGCTTTGCTTTTTTATATCTTTAAGGGAAGAGTCACAGATCTGTACCTCTGTGGATTTCAGTCCTGGAGGTTTAAGATACGGGTCTTCTGTGGAAATCAAAAAAGTCTTGTCAGATTTAAAATACTAGCTGTTATTATCTAAATAACAGCTTTACATTTAAATTTATTATTTAAATGATTTGTAAAGCCACTCATCTCAACAAGTCACTCAAGAAGTGCCAGCAACAAACAATAAAGCAAACAAACACAAATAAAAATTATTTTATATATTTATATAAAAATGACAAGGAGTTGTCAACCGCCATTTTGAAAGATTTTTCCCCCTTCAACCCATGGCCAGACTTTGAGTGGATTTACCCAACAATCTAAACCATGATATGATTTACATGTTTGTGGTTTAGCATGTTTATAAACTATGCTCTTATGCGTCTATGGCTTAGTTTATGTTGTGCAAAGCCAGTCAACTGATTGATTCCTCAAGCTATGGCTCATTACGTGTGAAACAAACTCTGTAAATTTAAGCATTTTTTAAAGCATTTGATGCTACTGTA